ACGGTCGTTGCGCCTCATCTGTGTTGCTAGGCTAGATTCTTAATTCTCAGCGAGTCGGGCAGGGGGCGGCAAAAAGGGAAAAGCTTGGGATTCGGGTAAAGCGGAGGGCCGCACTGGGCATCTATGCATCTGGTATCAAGCGACAAATGCAGCAAACCATCTGCCTGTGCTACTGCTTCCACTGTCTTTTCTGCGTCTTGTCTCCTTTGTACCGCTAGTGCTCCTATCCTCAGTACTGCCGTGTATGGTCGTCTTCACTTCAACCTCTATGGCCGTTCCCGGTATAGTCTTAGATCCCATATCTGCGTTGTCGATGGCAGGCCGTGTTCTTGATGTTGCCGGTGAACTCGTCGGATGGAAATGGGGAACTCGGCTACCGTCTTTACTGGTTACGCTTTTTCGAGAAAAACTCAGCATTGAGAACACCATCTAGTGTATGATGCGGATAGGATGAACAGCAAAAGCAGCAGCAGCAGGAAAACCTCGCCTCTCGCTGGTTTTTTCATTCTCGTCCTTCTGTTGCTTCAATTAATCCTACGCTTCTTTCATTCTCTTTGTATATTGTCACATACAGCCTAACTAACTAAGCTCTCCTTATCTAAGCTGATTAGGTCATGCGAATACGGCAGACAACGCTGAGGACAGCTGCGACAAGAGGAAGAAATGCGCGGACGAAAGATGCGACAGAAGAAAAAAGGCAAAGGTCTGGAACTGGAAACGAGTACTGGCACTGAGACACAGTTGCAAATGCAGCGAAAGACTCGGGGTAGCTATGTACTGCTTGTAACGCTACTTCGTGACGATCGTCTAGGCTTGTTTAAAGCTCTAGGACAGCAGTCGCAGCTGAGCGGCAACATCGGATCGATCGAACGCCGAAGAGTAAAGGACTGTGAATATGTAAAACCTCTCGTTCTCGCAAATCGGCTGCTGTAAACAGTTTTGTTATGAGACCGTCTTGCCCTTCCAGCTAATCCACACGGTAACAATGAAAGGAATAAAGCAGAGGAAGAAAAGCCATGGACGCTTTTGATGGCAAAGGACGGCCCAGTCCCTTTTGGCTAGGCCAAGATCCCTAGGCAAATACTCACTGTAATATGCGAAAGAGAATAATTAGGGAGTAAATGAGGAGTGACGAGGTAATCATTCAACTGCGCGTTTTCGTCCAAATGAACCAATATATTTTTCCATTAGAGTGAACTATTGTAAGTTAGATCACACACAAGCATTCTCATCATCGATGGAATTGAAAAAAACAGAATCATTTCCTTCTTCTATTAAATTAATTATAAGCTTCCGCTAGTTAGCGTGCAGGCAGAATGAAAGGGCATTGGAATTCAGTTTTTCGAAGCTCTTCCTTGGTGTCTAATTTGCCCTAGTTTAGAATGTACCAAACTTTTTATCGGAATACGTGATATTAAATTTATCCATTCAGTTTTTGATAATTTGCCCAGTCGAAGTACCGTTGCTTGAAGCCATTCAGAATTCTTCTTCATTCATGATGCAATTATTGAAAGCATATTGTAAATCTGCGTTTAACAATCAATCATCTTGCCGCCGTCTACATTTCTGTACGTTTCGTCTCGTTCATCACTTATTATGCGACGGAAGATCAGAAGATTATAGAAATCTTTAAACCCATCCAGAATGGGTGAGTTTGAACATTTTCCCAATTTGGGAAACTCGTGATAGCCGCTATGAAGTGTAAAATAAACGTATGGCGGAAAAAAAATCAACTTCTCTTATATTTAACGCGGTACACCCTAGACGGTTTCTTGTTATGATTCCAAGCCAAGTCCGATGCTTCTTATTACCTTGATCTTGTCTTACTGTACTTCTAAATCCATGCGAAAATGATTTGTCCGATTCATAGGCGGTTCTTACGTTAACTAGTACCAAACGTTCGATCCTTTCATTAAATGTCCTAATAGTTATGACATTCTCGGTACTACTCGGTAGTAATGTTTCTTGACATAAGTCGCATTTCCACTGAAAAGGACAAGGCATACGCTAGTGGTGAAGAAATGATAAACGTGAAAATTTTCAATCACTATAAGACTATCCAAAATCAGCCTAGCAATTTTGAACCTTCAGAGATTTCTATCTCAAATGCGCTTTTAACAAGCATATTTAGTCCTGCTATTATTTCGTGGGTAGAGTAAATCGCTAAAAGTACATCTTACAGCACTCGTCCCAGTGGCAGTTGACTGAGTTGCACAAGAAGGTATCGTAAAAGTAAATAAAAATGGACGTCCCATATAGATATATATGAGAAATCTTAATGAGAAACAATATATATATATATAATGTTTCTCATTAAGAAAATGTTAGCGGAAGTTATAACAGGAGGCATCGTTGCGTCTTTTTTTGGGACGAAAACATCGGCGACCCGAATGGAACGTTTGTCAGAATATGAAATATGGTTAATGTCCAAGGTAACTCTAATCAACGAGACTCGAAATGAAGTAATTTCTCAAAGAGCAGGAGATGCGCGTGTTATTGCAATAAAAAACAAATTTAACTGTGCAACATTTGTACAGTGGTACCCTAATACTAATACTACTCTTGCCACGATACCATCGCAGCGCTAACGTATCTTTAAGATTCAATAGCTATAAAGTGCTTCAATGTATAGGTCAGGTCAGGTTAGGTTAGGTTAGGTCGTTTTCCTTCTGTATTGGTACACAAACAAGGAGTAATATATCACTGCATTTGCAATAGGTAACGATCAGACGCCACACTTTCGAGTGGCGTCTATTTTTTGAAGAACTTACGATTGAAGCGGGCAGAATGCCAGGGTGACACTTCGGAAGTCTCGCACAGAACACGGGTGAAACTTGTAGGTGATAAACATAACATTGAGATGATTGATCAGAAATTTCAGAGCGACTCGAAGTTATAGAAAGACCAGAGAACTCACGAACCGGCCGAGCAAGTGACGGGATCACTGCGGCACCTAGCACTGAGCTTGCCAATCCAACAACCAATAGCGTCCTGCTAGACAAGTTGGCCTATCGACTAGCGGTTTGAAGCTTTAGGCCTTTGCTGTAGAGATATGCGAAGGACAGTGGGTGTGACAAATGGTAACGAGAATGCGCACTACAACACGATCTGGGGCCCCGTATTGGTAAAGTGAATGGGACAACTAACGCTGAGCTATGCAAGGCCATAGTTCAAAATCACGCGAAGTGAATCGAGTTATGCAACTGACCCTGAGGGAAAATTTAGTTGACATTTGGCCTTCCATGTACGCTATAGATCATGTACGTAACGCGCATATAAAAACACGTACAAAAACACCCATTCTGAAGGCATACAGATGGCATGCTAACTTTTGGTTCGCCCTACAAAACAATGGCCAGTGTAGTCATCCACAAAGTTTTATTGATAGGCATCAGAATAAGACAGTTTAGGCTTACCTGGGTCGCTGGAAACCCTGTCCTTAGATGAAGGATCACGCGGTTTAAAAAGGTACATATGACATGCTTGACGACAAGCTGTATCTAGAAAACGGATTTTACGGCGGACGAGAAACCTACCACTGTGCTTATACCGCGAACCCGTTGACATTGAATTTGAAGGGAACGAAAATATACGCCTACAGAAATGCACAAACGTATTCGAGTAGAGTAAAATTATTAAACGCTGGTAAAATACATATACTGAGCATATACCCCTATAGTATTATACCTCGTAATATGCTTGTAACATAGTATGATCAACAAATATAAAGATGATATTAGGGTGCCTTTACCACAAATGCGGTGTGGACTCGAATTTTCGTATCCTCTACGACGTTAAAAGATGGTAACTATTGTGATGCTTGTTTTAAATTGTAATATGTATGTTGTCGAAAATGCATTGACCGTTTTTTAAGCCGAATTTTTAAGCACATATTTTTTTATACTTTAAAATAGTATTACTGAACAAAATATGCATGTGTTTTGGTCGGTGACCTTCTGCCTGTTTTCTAAAAACGTTATAATCCCATCGCTATAGAATTTATATGGTTTCTGAGCAAAAAAATTGTAACAAGTGGTTTTTGCATCCCTTAATCAAGACTAAACGAGCATTATTAAGAACGTTCTGCATAGACCGAAACAGACGATAATCTGATTGTGCAAGCTCCAGGCTACACTGCGAAGGAATAAAATTTGCCATCTAACTTTATTTAGTTTTTGTGAGCTACCTAAAAACGTATGCCCTCGACGCCTTTTCTGCTCAGTGCGAAGTCCTCGTCAATTTTTCTTAGTGGCGTAGTATATTCTTGTTAGTTGTTGACAGCAGTGGTTCGAATCGGGCGGTAACAAGTTAGAACGAACGATCCCTTTTCAATACTACCGAAGGCATCGCTTCCTCTGGCATTGGCCTGGGCTTTACCACAAATCGTAAAGTGTGTGTTTTTTAGCTTAGATTTTCGTTACTCGCTATCATCGTATGTGACCCACTTTTTACCATCCATGATCAATCACCCGGTTTCGTTGCGTTTAGAGTTTCTTAAATGAAATACGATCGAGTCATTCATTCTTGTGACACCCAAACATCAAGCTTTTTTGTAATCAGCTTCCTTCAAATCATCTAAATCTAATTCGTTTGGTGGTAAATTTTTAATTTTTTGGTGACTAGTTACGCGTTGCCATTCTTCGTTCAGCTTCGGCAATAATTTCATCAACTCTTTCGGTGACTAATTGACCACCACGAGGAGCTTCCTTTCATATCGACATTTCCAGACTGAGAGCGACATAGCCATCTTTGGGCCATCTCTTCCGGTGACACACTTTGCCCATAAGTAGCAGACGTTTTTTTAATGGGTTGAAAGCAAATGCTTGATATTGTGCTTGGGAAATTCTTAAAAAAATTCTACCTCGACCACAAAGTAATAAGCGAAATAAATAATCAGAAGCGAATAATTGAAAAGATGTTGTTTTTCTCTTTCGTAATAATCTTGTATTTTTTTTTTTCTTTTTTTTTTTTTGCTGTTAGCCAATAATTCAGCGCGCCACAGCTTTCCCATGTGGATGGTGAAAGCTCTTTCAAAACTGAAATCTTCTAATACGTACAGAGCGTCGCGACACAGCCTGATTTTATAAAAATATTTATGAAACGCCACCTGTGTCTATGTAACTAGATAATAACAATGGAGGAATCGGGAGGGAAATAAGGCAAAATCTGATTTCAGCAGATCACAAAACGATGCCGTCATACAGTTAGCAATCGATGCGAGCTGTAAGATTGCTTATACAAACGGGTCCGTTCGTTCAGACATGCCTAGTATTTGACGAACTTCCCCCTATTTGAAAAAAAGGCTAAATTAGTTGTAAGCATGATTAGCGTTGTTAAAAATAATCGTAGAACCAATTCGAAATATAAATTATAAAATAAAGAAAAAAAAAATAATAATTCAAGGGTGGAAAACATTCGTTTCAAAGAACTAAACTACTAGATAAGTTGACAATCAAATATTCATAAACGTGACAGGGTGATTAACTAGCACCATGCCCCAACGGACGATATATGTATGTATCATACATTGTTTTCTAGCGTGTCAATATTCGTCCTAAATAATCCTAACCTCCTAGGACAACTCTGCCCCGTACACTTCCATAGAGGACAGCGTTGTAAGACATATCGAAATAATAGTGATATCTATATACGCGTTTTAATAGATTCTACGGGCGAATCTAATGAGCGTTGATCTTTGTGTGGCGTATAGATAGCACGAGTATCAACGCTTAATTGCGTTGGCCTAGCAATGATCATGCGGTTGGCTGGTTCCATCCCAGCGCACAAAAATGGAACGGCAAACGTTCAATGGTCGTACGTGAGTCCAAAAAAATTCTCACATAATCGGACAGATAAATTATATATGACTTATTTATACTTACGTAAACGATTGACTGTTGATTGCTTGTATTTCGCAACCCGCAATCGGCGTATACGCCTACTGAAGTATCCATCAAAGTATGTTAACTTCAAAATGTACAGATATGTTTGTATGCTATAATAATAACAACAGATCTGATGTTTGTTTAGCATACGAGCGAACAGCTAATTTTAGTGGGTCGCATACAACATATTCGACCAAGGTTTTATATCCGTTTAATATATATATATATATGTGTGTGTATGTGTATATATATAATGAATCATCGTTTTTCAATTTAACTTCTGTCGAACTTTATTATATTAGTCTGTAAGCTGTGGTTCTATGAAAGTCTGTGACGGGCATTGTGCTAGCCTGAAAACAATTGCGTGATATAAAAGCAAATAAAATAACCGAGTACTGGAATTTGCTATAGGGTTGTTTCATCATTTTCCAAAGAGCACCTAATTCCGGTCCAATGTCTTTTGCGTGATTGCGTATTTAGGAAGCATAATTGTCCGTTTAACGATGCTCATTTGATCTATCTGCCAATGAAGCTTAGATAGAACCTATGGTAATTTACCAGTAGTAAACGAGTCTGATTACTCCGAACGTAAAAATGCCGGTAGCTTACTTCTGCTACTTGAAGAAGTCCTACCCTCATCTGACCAATGTAGGTCTCTGGCGATGTTGGATACGTAACACACACACCCGGAAGGCACTGGAAAAAGGTCTACCTGAGGTTTCTGACTGGGATTTAAAGGATTAACAGCAATAAGGGGAAAAAGCATTTCACGCTGTTTGCAGGATGTTTTGAAGCAAGGAGGCAGATAGCCACACGGTTTCTCCCGATGTGAGCACTTCTCGACCCGAGTTGTTTGCGGGAAACGCTCCGTGTTGACGACTGCCATCCAGCGGCCCTTGTAGTTTTTCGCCCAGCCTTAAACAAATAATGATCAGCCAGTACACATTCAGCATGTTAGTTGTAAAAACAGAGCACAAGATGCTTTCTTAGCTTTGTCATATTAAAAGAAAAATGTTGCCATACATCTCCATAAAAATAAAATTTAATTGGTGTTAATCGTACTCATTCGAATGAAATCTTTCTTTTGGGTCCAGCTAATATGGTGGTTGACTGACATGCAGACCTAATTTCTTCAAGCGGCCGAGGGGATACGATGCATCAAATATAGAAACGTGAACGAGCTGCGAATGGTGACCTTACAAAGATGCTGTTCTCTAGACCAACTGCCAAAGCGATCAAAAAAGTACGTACAAAAAATACCTCTGCGTTTTTTCGGCTGCCGGAATTTTTAGGATTGACGTCTGCAAGGGCATACACTTTTGTTCAGCGCTAAACTAAGAACCTAGCCTTTATTTTGGCGATTCGCAGTCCTGTTTCAGTTGTGCGAGGACCGTAACGCCGATAAAAAAAAAAATATATATATATATATATATATATATATATATATATATATATATATGCAATTCCCATACGAAAGAAATAGGGAAAAGTTTGAACAACCAAAAAGAAGATCCCAGCTTCTTTGGGAACGTTTTGACAAAAGTGCTGCAACCATGGTGCTCACAAGGCCTACCCACCTCGAATAGAATGAAAACGGTAGGGCGCAAAGAAATGGCCAGGAAAGATATACAAGACGAGCATTAGACCAAGGATCACGTGGTTCGGGCATAAAGCCTTCAGGTCCTTTCGTTTGCTTTGCGCATGGCGAGAACTTCTGAGTTCCAGGTTTGTGTTCCACTTGGGAGCCCGTGCCGTCCGCCTTTTGCAACTGTTGCTGCTACTACTTGTCTTTTTTCCTACTATTTGGCATCGTGAGTATTGCTACATACATCGTTCGCGTGGTGGGTCCTACCTCTCTCGATAATTTTTTTCCTGATTCCCAAAAGAAATGTTGCAATCGACTACGTTTGAGCCATTTATTTCCAACTAGTTCTTCTCAGCAAATTGTAAGGACGGCAGGTTTGCTTATATTGCTAGTGTTGCTATTGATGTCGTTATTTTCCCCTAGTTTCTACGTTATCTTATCCGTTCGTTGGTTTAAAATGGAGCTATGTGGAGCTGCATTATCCGTGTGCGTCTTATTGAAAATAAAGTTGGTCATAGGGGCGATAGAGGAGCAAATGGGGGGATGTCTTTCACATTGTTTTAGTTAGGTAGATAATTCTTGCACTTGATGGTCTTCTTGTAGATACTTGGATTGGGATCCATCGAAGAACAGGTTGATATCGACAAGATAGGTGAACTTCTCCCCTTTTACGACGTCACCGTGTCGATATGGAACAAACAACATATGGCTTACTGTCATCGGACAGTGTGCATATAAGTAGAATGCCTGTATTGTCCTATCGGTATCACTAAAATATATCCAAGTAGTATCTTTTTATTGTCCCTGGAGTCCTAGTCCCTATAAGCCCACTCGACACGTTGAGCACACAATACTTTCCTTTAGTCCGACCCACATACTTCTCGTTTTGAACACTTGTTTATCCTACGACATTGAAGCCTTCCCATATACTAACAAGTACGAAAGACAGTGCCGTCAATTTTTATGTTTCCCATGTCACGCTAAATGAACTGAATAGAAGGTTCATTTTGCACTATTGGCTGGACGCAGAATTAGCTGCGGCTTGGGAATACTTCGAATAGAAGTATTCCCAAGCCGAAAACGTAAACGAAGCCGTAAACGAAAGAGACATATTTCAGTAGTTTCGAAATCTGTACATTCACACTGACCACGCACACGCATTTTTCTGCAGGCGGTTATGCCCTTCGATTAAGATAAAGGTCTTTACGAGTTAGGCTAGATACGAATACGCTTTAGCCCCTGTAGGAAAGTTCTAAAAATAATTTGGTGGCATCTTAAAAGAGGTAGTTAGATCTAACGGAAAATACACTACGGATCGGAAAATCACGCCTTGTTTGTCCCTCCATTATTGGTTAGGCAACCAACGGTAGGTCTTACTCGAACATGATTTATTTCGAAGTACAATACTGGCAACATTTATGTACAACAGATAATACCCGAAAAAATAAGCATATACGATATCACCGTCGGGTACTGCATGTTTCTTTCAACCCTATCCCAGGTGGAATACAAAGGGTGTGTCTAGATAAGTTTCTGATCTTATTTGCACCACATTATTTTTCCAATATATATATGCATTATGGAAAAGCATTTTAATCTATGTAATCTAGATAAAATCTATATAGATGTTATCTCTTAGGACATAGAGTCCATCTACCGCCTGAAAAAGTGGAAAAAAAACTGAAAAATACGGGGAAAATGGTAGTGTCTGACCCATAGTGTTATAGAGTGTTCGACAATCGAAGCGTTCAGTATGATGACTCATAAGTGCCGGAACCGTCGTAGAGGCATACTTGCAAGAAACCTAGGAGATCCATAACACGAAAACATACAACCGCTAGCCGAGAAGGAAAAAAAGGTTTGTGTAGGTCTTTACCTAGATTACTAGACGGATTCGCTAACAAATGATATATGCTATATTACACTCATCAGTATATGAATTAGGTATAATAATGTACTCCACAAATAAAATCATGTGTTACTATCCTAAACTTAACCTAATGCTGGTCTAGATAATTAGTTCTAGAAGGCTTTTACAGGTAACTTACTTATTATTTGTTTTAGGAGGAACTTCAATTGTATGCTTGTTTCAGTAATTTCAAGCGCATTCGTTGCATGTTGTAAAGCTTCGTTTGCAGAGTTTCTATTGAACGATTCTACTCTAGCTCGTAGTTTAGTTGTTTCCGCATGTTCAGCGTAAACGTGAACAATCTCCCATACAAATTGTACCAATTGCTCATTGGAAATGGAAAAACCAGTTCTAACACGAGGCAGTGGCAAATCCTTTTTGAAATACAGCCCAAACAGGTTTCCAAATATTTTCTTTTATAATGTTCATTATTTTTGTTATTATGCAACTAGGCGATTTTTATCAGGCAAACCTTTATCTTAGTCTAGGGTGCATACACTAAATTTCTAAGTCACTCCATGTGTCATGCGGATGGGTGGCCATGTCCTTTTTGCTCTGTCAAAGAGCTACGGGAAATTGGAGAAATTCAGAGTCGGCTCATGGAAGTCCATTGTTTTATCTGACCGTGCATTAGTCCGGTAAAAACCTAAACCTAATAATCGCACAGTATAAACTCGAGTGAGCATTGGGCGCTGGAGGACGACGATGAGTTGAGAGCACTGACGAATACGACAGGCGGCTCGATTTAAAATTAGCGCATTCATACTATCTCTGGCTTAAAAGATGCTCGACGACCATCCATATTCCTGCCAAAGGTGAAAAGACCAAAAGAAAGGTGTGTTTATTTTATTGTTGTTTTACGTGTTGCTGATAACTCGTTAGTCAATTTAGGCGACTTCAAAGTCTGGACGGTGCGGAAGAGACGCAAAAGACGAGGTCAGCAGAGCCGAACGGAAAAGCCATTTAAACCCTACAAATAAAATTCGCTTCCAACATGGGGCGCAGATGAGCCGTTTATGAGGTGTAATGGCTTGTGGGGAGAAAAACCGTAAATGAAGTAGACGAAGAATCCTTTCAAGAGGGATATAGAGATTCAACGACTTGCTCTGCTCCCTAAAACTGTGTACAAATCCACAACCCTTTCAGCCAGCCCAACATTCGTGGATCAGCAAGTACGCAGGACGTTTGGATAGTAATATGTCGGGTTGTACCTGTTACCCGTGGTATTATACTGCTATAGGCACGCGTATAGGTTCCTCCGCATTAAGGATGTCTGCGTTGCACATTCTTTTCGCCGAGTTGGCACAAGCTTAATGCGAAATCGCAGAGGAACCGAACGCAAACTACAACTTACTTGTAAATCAAAGTTTAAATCTAATTTTTATGTAATAATTGTTGTACTCTAAAACGAGGACTGTTTTCAGATGTGGTTTCGTTTTTTGAGGATCTTTCATGATTATTTTAGGTACACGCATTTTGGTTGTATAGTCCAAAGCACACGCAATATCCGCTATCCATATTCACATGGTTTCTGTGGCAATATGCCGTTAGAAAGCTTCAAACAACGCTGTAGAGTAATGAAGTAACAATGTGTTTCTTGTGCAGAGTCTGAGTGAAGACAGCTTTAATCAACCTTGATTTTCGACAATTCGGCAGGCACCTAATTATTTACCCACCCATATTATTATATATAAATAAAATATACCATATTATATTAAAAAAAAAACACCGATATTCTAACCAACATCATCTATATGTCCGTATTTTGAAACGACATTATAGTCGTGGACCTGTTGGGCGCACATAGTGCAACTAACTGGGTTGCTACTACAACAGTATTCGGTCTCGTTCCAGAACCTTTACAATCCAAAATAGAATAACAGAAGGAAAGAATCGGGCAAAAGTATCGGATTAGAATAGTCGCCAGCGGATGTACAACAGGAGTCATGTTTAAGCACTACGTTATTTTTGTCCCAACGATGGGCCAAGCTATGATGAGATGAAAGTAAAGAGGTTCGTTGATAAGGTCTGCTTCTGCTGTTTGAAGCCTCGGGGTAAAGAAGCTACAAAAGAGTTAGCTTTTGCGAAAGTTCGCCTTGGGGGGTTCAACGCTATTTCAAGGCGTATTGTTATCTGTCTAAGATGTGAGTCTCAAAAACGAAGTTGCAGACCGTCTGTCTGTCTGTCGTTCCTGTGCGTCCTGGGCTGGTGAAGCATAAAACCCTCTTTTTCCCTTCCTAGGGCCGTTATCACAGTAGCAATAGCCTTTGCTATGGGTGAATTTCGAAATGCACAAGAATAGAAGAAAAGGCTTTGTTATGAAGCTCGTCGCCGACCGTTCGACCTTCAAAACACGTTGTTTTTTGGAAGCGGCTACCCGGTTCCGTTACAGCGGTTCATAGCGGTTGTCAACGTTGGTCGAAGGCAAAACTGCTTGTCTCTTCCGATACCCTCTCTTGCGCCCTTTCTTACTCTTTGTTAGCTAACTCATCCGCTCTCGTAAAATATCGGGGGCAACGCCGTCTAAATGTGCACGTTGCAGACATACGCACGTCGATACTAGCGCTAATGCTAAAATACTCAGATTTAGCTGGTGCCGACTATCACCTAAGCACTACCACCGTCATAGCCGACACCAACCACAGTCAGAATCCAAAATTGTAGTAGTGTCGATATGAAAGGTCTGCGCGATTGCCGGCGCTGGTGGAATAGGGTGCTTTTATAAAAGTAGTAAGGTCGTTTCGTTACTTCTGCTTAAACAAGCGTCGAAATGTCTTTTTATGGAGCTGCATATGCAGCCCCATGTTTAGATGAACGTTCGTGTGCCCTGCTGTAGTAGTTTAGGAACTGCGCGCCGAAAATTGATGAACTGGGTTCTTAGCTGGTCGACCGTATTCCTTCTGTGCTCTTTTAGAAGGGAAATCGAAGTGTAAGTGCCGAAATCGGTCAGGAGGAGCACAGCTGAGCTCAGGTCTGAAAACGTAACTGCAAGGGCAGCTATACCTTGCACTCTATCGATTCTTGCTGATGTCATCGCTGCAGGCGAATACCATTGTCCTAGACCTCTTCGTTTCATCATTCCCTTACTATGTGTTGTTGCGAGCTGGCGTCGACCTTTACAACGCAAGTCTTTCAAAAGCAAATACCTACATTAAACCTATCTAAAGTGTATTCGAGTTCCGTATGCATAATTTCTAATTTTTTCAAGTTGTTTGGTAGTTAGTGATCGATTTAGTTAACTTTTAATTTTAGTTCCCAATGAAATTATCTACTAATGGCAGCCAATTGCTGTCAGCATATATCGACATGGCTAAAGGTAAACGTCTTTATGATTGGCAATATCTGAGTGTGCTTTGTCGTCGACAAGGTAACGGTGGTTGAACACGCGAAACGCCAATGACAGAAAAAGCTAAGCAGCAGTAATGGAAGGCTCACGAAACAACATAAAAGATGGCGCTGGCTAACTGTAAACTATCAAAGAAGCTATAACACTTGGTATCAGGGATGAATTACTAAACGCCTTAATTATTTTATCAGGCCATATTATTCCTAATACATTGTCTTGCGATCTTTCAATAAGCCGCATTCTTTGCTTGGCAGACAAGCCGGAACTTGTCGTTCGCGGCAATTATATTCGAGTAAATACGAAGATGAACGGAACATTTGTACGATCACTGAAATAACAGGCAATGTTTTGTACCGATGATTGCTGCCAAGGGTCAGGAGGAACACTGAAGGAATGTGAACGGCTTAGGTCTTCCGCTAGATTTGTCTGAATTGAGTGCAGCTGGACCAGCCGAAACTGTCCATAGTGGAATCGAATAGCACCTGCTTCTTCCCTGTTGACCGTGATCGTTATACACTCATAAACATATCAGCGCTCATAGACGTGTTAATAATAAGGGAATAGGTGTATATAAAACAATGTAAAGTTAAGAGTATCAATTCATAAATATGTACGATCTCCGACAAAATTACTTATACAACTTAATGAACATCTCAAAGTTTTTGCAGTTTTCTGTTTGATAAGTAGAGGACCCTCAAGCAAAAACATATCGTTCTTTTTTCCTACTTGGTGAGGAACATCCTTACGTATAACGTTTCATTAGTTTAAAATATTCTTTGCAAGGATTTTGCGGTTGAAGATTAATGCGATAGCAGTGATGTTCAAACGCTGTGCTCATTGTTCACTGAAGTTTTTGAACTACGCCAACTGACAAGGACGAAAAAGAGCGCTGATCTGGTCTCTCCTTCCCATGCGTTCGATTGCTGCAGCGTCCGCTATAAGTCGCGTTCCTTTGAACCATTAGGGAATATTGTGTGCTACCCGAGTGCCAGGATCTACTTGATCGCAGAAAGTTTTTTGTGGTAATTAATTATCTTCTCTGCTTCGGGCCCTGCTTGCTTCTTGGAGAGAAACTCCGGCACATGGCTCAAGTGCAGACCTGGGGCCTGGGCCTTGACGCTTGGCACGCCTAGGCAGCTCAGCCGTCCGTGACAGTTTTCTTGGCATCCATCGAAGATACACGATCGTGTCCCTTAGGCGACACTTGCCAAACTTGGTCCTTGCGATCCGTTGCTATGCGACCGCCTCCAACAGCGAGCATTCCATGATACTTTATCGGAAGGTCAGAAGCATCTTTGTATAGCCTTGGATCATCTTTTTTGCGTTGGACCGCGAATTCGCTATCGGCCTAGGGCACCAACGACCAACGCAGATAGAGCTTCCATAGAAGCTCGGAAGAACGCCAGACCTAATTCTATTGAACATTGTGTCTTGCTACGACATGAGGGCCCTCGAACTCGAATGTCCACTAGGGCAAGGTGCCCTTGAAGGAAGTTACCCATAGACTTGTACGAAGGGTTTGTGTTGACTGATGGATGGCTGAAATTTGTAGGCTACTGTTGTTTGCGGAGATGGCTCAATTGAGCTGTGGACCTTAAGCCACTAGAGAACTATTTGGAAGAGGCTGATCCAACGAGTAGCAAAAGTAAAAGTATGTAACTTAACCTTAGAATATATGTTTATTTTTGTAAGAGGTACCTATTGTCTATTGGCGATTGTTGTTCTAATTGTGGCTAATACATGGAAAACATTTCTTGGTCCTCTATGCGCATACGTTGTGCATCTAAGTCGTTGAAGCAAGTCTCGTCAAGGACACATATTATATAATGTATGCGAATAAAAATTCATAATATATAAATCATGTTTTTCTGTTCAGTCGGTAGAGAAATCTACTAACAAAAATTATAAAGGTACCTACCAATACGCATGTGGGATGTTTCGCTTTGGCAGACGAATTCTCCATGTTGCTTTTCCTCGTTGAACGAATGGGTGTAATTTTCAACCCACTGAACCTCGTGAGGAGGGATCTTGTACATTGCATGGTAGAGGTCGTACATTTGATTGTAGTAACGATCTACAATTGTTTGAACTTTTTCACTGTAATAAACAAATCATGTACATTATTTGTAATTATTTGCGCCTCCATCCATGTATATATATATATTCATCCATGGTGAACGCTCAACTCTCATTAAATTATACGCAATATACGATTTTTAACGTAGCTATTTCTCAGGCTACAATCGTATATTTGATTATAACCTAAATATTTATTTATATATTATAAATATTTATTAAATCGTTTATATATACGTACGTATTTGTGCCTAGAAGAATATAGCAGCATGGGAATGTGTCTTGACACCCACTGAATTCATTTTAATTAGCTCAATTATTCCGTTCAGGTAAAATTTATCCAGCTAACCAATGTAAAAGGGAAAAATCAATTACATTATTAAGAGGATTTATCAATTTTTATTAGTATTTTCTTGGTGTTATTTAGAAACAGTTATCTTTTACCCGTTCCATTTACTCACCATCAATTTCATTACTAAAGGGTGAGAATCATTTCTGGCTTCACGTTATTAATACTGCACATGTGTCCGTCCGTATTTCCACCTGAGTGTTTAATACGGTTAACTATGGGATGCATCCTCCTTCTGCGTAATCCGATCGATTTCAAAGCAAGCGATTTCAGAGACTTGACATAAGGCTTTCGAAAAGACAATTAATGTCAGTGCTTGCTACAGAAACAGCTGTGATACCTTAATGCTGGAGGGCAAATATACAGCCGTCTGTTAGTGGATTAATATACCAATATTAATATGGTGCGTCCTTATATTTTTGTTTTCTATATCAGGAGTTCCTGTGTGTAAAGTAACGTAAAATATAGTATTTTGGCCGAATGCGCTTACTTGAAGCGCGAGTCGAGTGCTCCCAAAGATATTAACTGCTTGCAATCTAATGCCTAATTGGCTCATCTATGATGAGGGCTAAAACAAATGCAAAACAAAAGTGAACGGAGACGACGCGTTTCTACTATCGGTTTTACACCTCAGTTGATACGAAATCGATTTATCCCGACTTCTTAAAAATCTAGAGGTTGCATCGTTGCTGTCTAATCCATGAAGATACAAGCGCATTGTAATATGTCGGCCCTCCTTTGGAGTCATGTTGAACAGCAATTATTTTTACAGTTTTATTCTCTTCTTTTAACTAATTTAATAGGGACACGACACCGGAGTTTGCCTTGTTTTGCTTTTTCATCCTCATTGTTCTTCGTCTTTAATCCAGAGATCAGTTCTCTGTAGCCACAGAACCCTCAAGTAAAAAGGCCGGCCACCCACCCATTTGCGCTGAAGTTGAATATATATATATACGGGGTGAACATAAACACGCACCGCATACGAACCATTAATGGCAGCTTTCTTTAAGCCTTCAAGCTTTCGGCTCTTCAGTCGCCATAAATGGGAGTCCTGGGTCAGACGCAGTCGCAATTCGCCTCAATTCGTTGACACTGCCTTCACGGACGAAGGTCTCCACTTCGGCGCTTAGATCAAAAAAGCACAACGGCCACCTCCAGCTTTCCTACCAGCGCAGTTGGCGTCGATCGCCGGCTGAGTGGGAAAAAAGTAGCCGTAGTGCAAGGCCCACCAGCTGCGCACGCTCTGCGAAAAAGGGATTATCTGTTCTCAGCGTAACAGCAGTGAGTGACCACAGCCTTCCTGCCGCCTGAACCGAAATCAGCTGACCCGGCGGACCCTTACAGTGCCCCGCCCATTTATCCTCTCTCCCCAGTCCAGGCCCAAAAAAGAGCTCTGCCAAAGCGTGCCTCCACCATCAATGTCATAGTACGCAACTGGCATTAGTCCTAACGCTTTATCGCTGCTGCCCCACGGGCAACATTGCGTTTACATCCACAGAGCTCAAAAACAGAAGCACATGATGGCTTTTCGGATATGTCGGAGTAGGGAGGGGAGGGGGTAAGGAATGAGAGGGTGTGGGTGAGACCACCACCATAGAGACGCCAAAAGCTCTCTCGTAACAATCTCCCAACGTCCACCAGCTTATACCGCTATTGCGCTAGGGCCGTAAGCCAGTTAGTGCTTGAGAAGAGACCATACGCTCAAACCAGCAACGCACTGACCAAAGTACGGCGTTGAACGAAGGCGTCGTGGACAACTGCTCTATCCTATTTAGTTGCTCTTGTCGAGTAGGAAAATGGAAGGACAGTCTAATTGAAGCAGGACAGAAGACGATTGAATGAGTTTCTTGCTTGTATGTCATGACATTAGAAGGACTGCTAAGTCAGCAGGTCTGCCTATAGCCGTTGCTGCCACCGCCTGAACGAGACCCACACTGCTACGAAGCTAGTGATGATGTCCTGTATAACCTAGAGAATGCTTTATGGACAACGACAAGCACAGAACACTTGGCGTTTTAAGCTACGCTTCGGGATGGTGTCGTGGTAGGAAAGCCTGGGGTGCGCAACCATATCTGACGGAACGACTAAGGTTGACGTTGCGAACGGTCTTTAGTGAATTTCGTCTTGATAGGCAGTTTATTAGCTGGATTGATCCTAACGGAAACTGAGCTCTACCCCTCTCAGCAGGCACAAAGGTGTACAGCTATATTCTTAAGTATTAATAGCGACAATGCGATTAAAGGGTTCGGCAGGAAGACGTAGAGTGATTAAGGTAATATCTCTCAAATAATAGTACGTAGTAATACAATTGGTGAACAGAGCCATAGAAGTATAACATATAGCAGATTAGAAATACGGTGTGCCGCTACCTTCCGCGTCATCGACATCTCTATTCTATACGACTCTTCTTTGTCCGGAAACCAAAAAAAAAAATACTTATGCGTAGAATCAACACCCGTTGGGCATATACCATAAGGAAGAAACCGGGGCCCAAAATGAAAATAGATATGACCAAGTACAACCTTGAATCTAAAAACTTTGGCGATCCATTACCATGAGCGTTAATTACTAGAACAGCAGTATTACGAATTTCCGTCTCAGCTGAAAGGGTTAAATTCTAAATCCTGGTGCCGCAGCATATCGTTAATATGACGTCGTGTTTCCTCCGCTCAAACTACGATGATCAGTAGACGTACGTTAGGCAGTATTTTATAGTATAGTATTTTAAATTAACCGTACGGCGGCGCATCTAACAGCTGCTATGCAATACTACGTAAGCGTACAGGCGCTTTGAAAACAATCAGAAACAGTTTCCCTGGGTAGAATAAGACTAGTTCCAAATTTGAAAACGAGTACTTAACCCGTGGGCGGCGCCGAAGTAAGGTACAAGTTACATTTTAGCCCAACTACGCACAGCCACCTATTGACCGCTAAAAAGGCATGCGTGTTCGGTAGTCAAGTGTTCAATCCATCAGTCCGTGAATGAGGCAAAGAAATAATTACAGTAAAAGTATTGCGAAATAAGCTTTTTTTTCTATGTTTTTTTTTATTAAGTAATGTTCAGTTGTCACAAACTGCTACAGCTCTGATCGGTCTGTCCAACACCAGCATTTCTATCCGTAAGGAATCTACCCTATCTGGTTCCCGGGACTTCGCTAAACTGTTCGTATGGGTTTTGCTTAATTGGTCAGGCCATTCGTTGCGATACACAATAACTACAGCACGTTGTTTTGTTACAGGGATGTGACGAGCAATCTGCCATAATTTGAATAATGCTACTTAATTTAGAAAGAAATAGTTTAGTTTATTTTCGATTTCATCGAATAGCCGCAGACTCTGGAGTCGACTCGGACGACGCCGCCACCGCCAGCGCAGCTGTACCAGATCTTGCAACAACAGCTAAGTTTAAGCACGATGCGGCCGACTTCCTGCAACTCTCTCCCCGAAGCTGCAGCCCGCGTCGATCTCAACTCCAGAGAAAGTTGCCAAGTGCAAAAAGTAGGGAACGGCATATTAGAGAATATTAAAGGCAAGGTCTAGTGAGGCTGCAATGAGTCGTCACAATAGTAACAATGGTAAAGTAACTGGAACGACAAGGTCCGCAGTTAACCAGGGGGTCGGGAAAAGGGTATTCGGCATTGGGTTAGCGCTAGAGGAAGTGTGGCATTTGTTCCAAGCAAAAAATTGTTGATCAGCAATAGTCATCATTACCACGGTTGCGATTGATTGCTGGGAGGAACTCACAAAGGGGACGCACTAGAAGCTGGCTGCTGTTGAGCGGTTCTCGAAAAAAAAAAAGGCGAACAACAAACTAGCAACGAAACAGCAGCGGGTGCAGGGAAACGGGAGAAATTTTTATAAGGAAACCCTCGAAAGAATTGCCCTTCAGGCTAGGAGAGGTCAAGCAAATAAATACGGGACAACCCCACGGTAATTTTCTTTCGTATCGGCGTTCTTTGTATGGACAGTCAATTTCAAGGATATCCAGCGCCCAAGTGGGTTGTTACCTGGTGCGCGGTGACGAGGAGAAAGGCGGATATCGATATAAGACGTATTACGAGTATGTCGGTTGGAATTTATTATTGGACCTGGACGAGAAATAGGAAACGGGAGCAATAACTTTTAAATGTCAGTGGACTTTCGTTCGTTTTTAATAGATGGATAGATATACAGGTAAGTAGATAAACGGATAGACGAAACGGAAAGCCACTGAAACAGGTGGTAATTTACTCGCCAAACCCACGTAACATCGACCTTTCTAAGAGTCACGAACCGAAAATCTGAGTGATAAATGTTACGTTTTCACTATTTCGAAACTAAGGGGTCCGAATTAGTCGTGCTTCTGTGATGCCTATGACAGGGCATGCCGGCTAGTTTACATGATATGAGATGACGAGGTTTCGAATTTGGGGCATGCCTGTGCCTGAAGGATGACTGTGGTCACAATACATTAACATTTAATTATAAGGGTAATTTAGGATTGCATAGTGGTCAAATGGAGCATTCCGTTGTCAGTAATTAATACCTAGCAAACAATTAGGGCTGTTCTCTTTTTATCATGCTGTATTATTTTCAGTCGTCTACACATTGTTGTACTATTACTACCAGTTTGACACGAATTATGAGTATTAACTCAGTTTACCTAATTATTAGTGTAACGGATATCAGTGAA